GCTTGAAGGTTAACTTGGCTACAATAGTTTAGTAGGACTACAAGGAACAGCAGACATACAGATTGCACCTACCAGGAACGATTAGGAAAGTTGTTACAATGGGAGCAATAGACAGATAAAGTAATTTCATGTGTTTTATCTCCATCGTGGCAAAGTTCAAACAGTGTTATAGGTAAATTATTTGAACCAATTTACAACGAACAATGCATGCATTGTTTCCCGAGCCAAGATTTATTTACAGTCCGCTTTCACTGAGAAACGGACTTTCTTTTGCGTTGGCGATTTGAAAACAAACTTGATCTATATCGGGAAGCTTTTGTTTCCACCCGTTCTCACATGTTACATAACACTACTGACATACGAATGTACGTCGCACATACGCCTATGTACACCTCCGTAACAGACGCATTTTATACGCACGTTTTCCTCAATTGTACAATTCAGAACCTCTTATACTTCGTTATCCACAGCGAAAGTCTTTAATTGATATATTTTATATTCCCATAAGTCTAATGGGGCCCTCGACTCGACATCTCCACTTCCGCTAAGTTAGGGGAAATTCTTCGTTTATTATTCACAGTAAATTACTCGACTTCTACATTTTTTCCCTGCGGAGCTCTCGAGCCCTTTTATTTATTCAATACGACTTATTTAAGTCCAATAATTCCGACACACTCGCAGAAAATGTGCCTTGGGAAAAGTAAAGTATTGTTCGTTAATTAAATTACTTTTATTGTTTTGTACAGAAACTGTTCCAAATTATATTCATGGCATTCGTTACCTCGAAATAGCGAAGAGTCGAGAAGTCCCTACTGCCGATTCACTAAACGTTATCCATCACTTACATATTCACTCGCGTTAATTTATTGGTTACTTCCTCCACTTCTTGCTTTCATTAATTCGAATAAGACTCCCGTATTAATTCTCTTAAAAGGTCTCGATCGTTCACAAAACTTCTTACAAGCATTCCGCATCTCATCTTCTGTTCCGTGGAACTTATCACTAAGGATTCTAGCGAGAAGTCGTTCACGAAGTTCCTTCTTTTGTCTCGGTTTCAGTTCTAATGCATTTGCAGCTAATAAACTGAATGGCTGGAGATTTATTATCGTTTGAAAGTACCTCATTCAGAACATGGGAGATATGTGTTCATGTTTGTTGTTTTGCATTTGCGATAACAAGGGCGGTAAGTGTGCCGCCTGCCGAGTTCTGTATGATATTCACGTAATATATTTTGAGCGCATGTTTGTTACAAAAACAAGCTTTGCCATTCTGTCTCCTGTAGAGTAGTTTACATGTAAAATTCGAACTAGCTGGCAGCGCCCTCGCATATTGAAGGGGGCCACCCTGACGCGCATCCCTCTATGTGGCAACACTCGTCTTTGATACACGCCTTTTGATGTCTGCTTTCGAGCGACACAATGCCACTGTTTACCTTCGCTCCTGAAACAACTTTGCTTCCACGTCAATAATGGACTTTTTAACGAGATGTAAGTTTAAAAGTAACTAGCGGAAGTTAGACTTCATTTACATGTAGCTACCAATAAAAGAACGAATTTTAATTACATTGTAAGTAGGTACTTAAGGTATGTCGAGATTAGTAACGACAATGACGTACTTAGTAGATGAAGCGAGCAGCAGTAGATGTAGAGAAGCGGCCCGGTGGTGCTGACTAGGTAAACGGCCGCCACTATCGGCAGGGAAGCCGGTTACTGCGCCGTCTTCACAGTAATCGAGCCGTAAAAAAGTTTTACTATCACAGTTTACGTGCCGCCTTTGAAACAAATGACCTACTTTATGACCGACCAGTATAGGCTTATTTTCAAAAGAAATGTAATCTCCACTAAAGTAGGAGTCTGACTAATATTAACTTTGTTCTCTGTTCAGCCCTTACTCAAGACGACGTGTTGATAAACTATTCGGACGGCTTTATCGCTGAAAGATAATTAAATTTCCTCTTTATCGAAATGAAGCACCATTGGAATAAGAAAGTCGTTCTTCAGTAAAGCAAATAAGTTTTTCAGTCGGTGCCGGCGCCCCACAATCAGATAACGAGTCGCCAACTTGCAACTACATTTCGAGTTCTTGATAATAATCTGTAAAAGACAGTTTTAATATTAATAGTTAAATGGATTTAATCTGTGAATGTTCGAGATATACCTAATAATAGGGTCTTTAAAATCGCATTAAGATACCTGCAATGCTTATGTTGAATTTAACTTGTTTCTTGATTCCGATCGAAAGATGGACTGAAGTAAATATTGGAGCGTTGGTCTTAATTTTTCTTGAAGCCTCTTGAGATAATTGTGAAACGGCGTGCTAGTTATTTCAGCAATGTTGACACAGGCCGCAATCAGATTGTGGGCGGAGGCCCACCTCGATAAGAGGCTCAACGCGCTGCGCGGCCGGCCGCCTCCTGAATATTACTCATTGTTACATTTTATAAACGATGCACTTTATGCAACCACTGCCGCCGCCGCTGCCAGCCACCCAGATAATGAAAATTAAAATATCATTTGTATTTAACACGAAAACGAACAAATGTAGCTGCGGAAAAACGGAAGACTCGTTTTAATTGCACATTCAATATTATGTTTTTCTTTACAAAACATAATGAAAATTCAAAAAGTTAATTCATTAAATCAGTCACATAGTCACATCGGTAAACAGTGGCATCACATCGGTCGGACAATCACAATAATCCCCAACTATTAGTACATTCAATCTCGTATTGATTTATGAAGCTCGAAATTAATCGTATTAAGCGATCCTATCAATTAATAAACAACTGCTCCCGGTCACGCAATTAGTTCAATTACTGGTAATAGATCTTGCTTTCATTGTTCGTATCGTAGTGAATTGAAATGGTTTTAATTCGTGACCATTGCGAATATTGGAATCTGCTGATTAATTTACGTAAAGTATCGAATGATATGTTTCATTTCTAATGCTAATATAACAACATTACACATCAATCCTAAATAGGCAAGATGAAGTACCTAGCTATCACTCGATCCTACCACAAAACCAACTTAATTAAAGTTAATTACAGTCCAATACAGTAATCGAATACGAGTGGTAGTTATACCACAAATTGTAAAGCGGGACATTCACATAAACACCAGGTTCTCAGCGAGCTTTTATTGAAGTCAACCCGACCCGATTGTCGGTCTCGTTCTGTTTTTCAGCCCATTCAATGTTAAAAAACAAGCAAGAAGAACTAAACTGGTTAACACACATGGACGGCTCTAATAGCTCTCTCCATTGTCGCTGGCTAACTGGGGCGCTGCACACCAGGATATTATGTGGGATGCGGTGCGGTAATAGTGTTGTGCACTGCTCGGAACCGGCCTACGAGCGGCGGGAGCTGCACTACTATATTATTGAGACACCATTCAAATAGGACATCAATACATAGTATAAAACAAAGTCGCTTTCGCTGTATGTCCGTTTGTATGCTTAGATCTTTAAAACTACGCAACGGATTTTGATGCGGTTTTTTTTAATAGATAGAGTGATTCTTAAGGAAGGTTTGTATGTATATACATATTGCACCCGTGCGAAGCCGGGGCGGGTCGCTAGTTTATTATAAAAGTAATTTTAATGGAGTGTTGCAAGACATCGAGTTTTTTGAAACGAAATATTTTCAGTTAGTGTGGGAATGTTACTTTGCAGTAAGTTGATATCGAATAGTGGCGCAGGATGTAGGTCGCGTGCCGGAGATGCCTTTGTTCCGACTGCCGCTGTAAATTATCTACATTCCGTTCTCCTTCATAACTCTGTATCGGAACAAACCGTGTGTCTCACAATAAAACAGGAAAATTTGCTGTTTTCCGCACAACCGAAGCTTTATTAAATTTCTTTTAAGTTTAATCGGGCCGCCTACAGCCTGCAATTAGTGAGAAAGTACAATTAATTTAATCGTTATAAAAATCGTATCGATTCATGACAATTCCCACAGTTTCTCTTAAAAATAATGACCTGAGCCAGCCTTTGACTGCACGCTTGGTGCGGTGGCTGGGCAACCGGCTGCCGTGCAATGTGTTGCGGTTTGATTCCCGCACGGAACAACACTTTGTGTGACCCACAAATTATTGTTTCAGGTCTGGGTGTCATTGTGTATGTGAACTTGTATGTTTGTAAACGCACCCACGATACAAGAGAAAATCCTAATGTGGATCTACGTATAAAAAAAACAGCCTAATTACTGTAATAATAATAATTTTATTTAAAATCTCTGAAATTAATTTTCAATATTCTATGTATTTCCGAACAAAGTATGTTATATGCAAACCACAGTATAATAAAGTTATGTTTGACAAACCAGACCGTTCAAAACATTGCGCGCTATATTTTGTGGGCTATAAAAATATTTACTGCAGCCACAGGTGCGACGCGAAAAACCGCGATTTGTGTGTGACGGCAGGGGATATATTGCCTATATGTCGTTGAATTACGGTACACGGCAGCCCATACTGGTCTTAATTGTCAATTGCTTTTGTGCCGGGAGCAGCAGCCCATATATTAATCTGTTGGTAGGGTGTGTTTCGTTTTGTTCCAAGAGTTAGTTAGTGAAGTGATCCGCAAACGGGTCGGTGCTCCATTTGGGTCATCTGGATCGGTGTTAGCGGGGCACGAGCTGCTGAGGTCGAGCGCACTCGTCCGCAATATACGACTAGTTCTAATAAAGTGTCCTTCAATCTACGCTTAGTTCGAGTAACGCCCGCACCAGATCCAGGCTTATGACAGCTTCGAGGATTTACGATCGCTTCCTGTGCGGTTATCATTTGAATTTGGGGCGTTGATCTCTCGTACGACGACGGTGTCAAGTTGCGATGAATTTTCATGCATGCTAAAATATGTATGTACCTACATACCGTACTCGTAGGGTGTAAACAATCACGTTTTTGATTTTATGTAGTAGTTTCCTCTTGTACAAGAAAAGGAGTAAACAATTCCTTGGTCATTTCAATTTAATAAATTGCTTTCTACATTTGTTTCAGGTATCTGGAATGATCCAAACTAAAAGACAACACATCAGACCCCCCGATCGGATGTCTAGGTGAGTCGACATTTAATATTTTCTCACATAAATGCTTATTACATTATGATACAAACATCTCTTTAGGTACAATACAATAAGCTTTCCTACGCGATCATTTTACAATAGAAATACAATATAGTGCAGGTGATATTGAGTGTGTAACGAAATAAGTCGGGTCTGCTAACCCGAGCCAGTCGTGAACATAAACCGTAACTCGAGCAAAATAAAATGGATAAAGTTTAAAGGTACGCTTATCAGTTGCCACAGTTTCAAGATACGGTATCAGAGAGGCGGAGGGGCGCGGACGGCTGCGCCGGCCCTCGACACTCACTGAACACGCATTTGCATAAGATTTTTGCAATTTTATTCCGCATACAAAAACAGAATCAGCATTTTACGACTTACTTATGCCTTTATACATAAGAACTTTTATTTTTTCGTTTCATATTGCTAGTTTTATGTATCTCTCGACGAAATAGAATACACTTCGCGACAACATGTTTCGTTATCGATAAAATTCGAAGTTTATATTACCACCCGAAACTAGCGCAGTAATAAAGTGAACCATAAAATAAGTAATAACGAAAACAGCAGTCGATAATATTTGTTTAATATTTCGTGTTAGGAAAATTGGATAAAACATTTTGAAATGAAAAAGAGTAATCCCCATTATACATAACAATAACAAATATCAGTTTAATCACATTTTCGAATAAACTAAACATGCATAAGTAAATTTGGTCGGATACTGTCTCCAGATTGTAGATTTACATACAGAAACTGTCATAAAATCATTACCAGGCAATATAGAGGCAATTGGAAAACAATTTCCGCATCAGCCACAGCGTAGCGTCTCGTGTGAACACGTCGCGGCGGCACTTTGCTTATACACCTCGTCGCCTTACTGGCACAACTAGACACAGGCCGACACAGGCCGACACATGCCGGCGAAACTCCACTGTGTTTATATAGTTACGTGTTCAATCACAATCTTGTGATGCCAATACAATTTACGACGGACGCTACGTCGACAAGTGCAACCGGGCTAATGGCGGCATCGCGTGCTCTTCCGAATTATCACTCGCGTTATACGCTATATTACATGACAAAGTGAAAGCTCACGACTAATATCGCTTGTAATCCACTTAAAAGTTCACAATGTTGCCCCTTCGTACGTAACTCCGAACAGGCATGCTAACTTTGTGAATGAACGGTCGAATACATTTAGCAATGTGTAACATGACACAGGTAATGTAATTGAAACTATTCTTCGTGATTCTTTTTCCGGGTTAATTAATTAAATAGAAAATTATCACAAACAAACACTATTGCGTGATATTAAAGTAGCAATGTATGTAGATGACCACCCAAAAAAACGTACGTTACTCTTTCAAGCGAAAATATACTTTATGTAAAAATATAAAAGTGTAGGTTTTCTTCGACATCCAACAGAAGGCTGTAAATGACTTACATTACACCGGTTCCCCGGGATATATGGCTGTCAATGGTGAACACTTATGAAGACGACGAGCGAAATGGCCAGATTAAGGCAGAAACGTCCCGTGTTATCTACTTTTTCGTCCCTCTTACGTTAATTCTATTACGAAAATATGAGCGAGGTAAAAGCATGACATTGTATTATGTATTCTTTGGGAAAAAATGGAAAATGAACAAATAAGTGCCAACCTACACAAAAGTTATTATAAGCAGTATTACAGAAATTACAATTCATTACTAAGTAATCGATTATCACAAGAAGGAAAACTCGTTAAATATGTACATCAATAAATATAAATAAGGTAATTACAGTGTCGACAGTTTGTCTAAGAAAACTGGCAACTATTTCCCTCGGTTCGGGTCGCAGTGAAGCAGCTCATAAATCCAGGCCCGCTCATTGTGTACCTATCGCAGTTGATGTCGCAATTTAGAAGCTTTGCAACACGCGCCGGCGCTGAAATAATGTCGACTGGCCATCAATCAAGTTCTTTGCCAAATAGATCGCTGATTAAATTGTTAAATTACTGCATTAAATCCTCCACGGAGTTGTCAAGTCGACATTACATTGATTCGAAGTTTATCTGGCTCAAGGTGACATATTGTTTCCGTTTTCTTTGAGGAAATATTTATAGTTTTAAATAAACTGTAGCAATTTACCGTGAAATGTATTGTAAAATGTTTATTTATTTCCTTAGGTTAAAATTGATAAACCAACCTGTTCTTTAAACATCCAAATAATAATTTTTGAAATCTATTTCTAGTTAGATACAGAAGGTTTTTTACGAAATACAAGAAGTAACGTTTTAAGTTAGAGCAAGTTAAAATATAGCAATAAGTATCCGTAATCATCAAAATAAGTAAGTAGGTCCATAAATATTGTCAAAATATTAAACCGAAATACAAAATATTAAGGGAATATTGTCGGTTGAACCGAAATCCTCGCAACGGTGCGGAGGAACAAAATACATTATTTATGTAGACAAAAATTAAATTGAGAGAACGGACGGCCGGCATAATTTGGTCTATCATCCGACTAATAATAAATTAAGAAGAGCCTAAACTGTATTTAGTGAGCGTAAAGACGCGGAAAAGGCTCGAGGACGACTTGACGTTAATGGATGGTACGTTTTTTTTTTTCAGGGCGTGGGCGTGAGATGGCACGAGCGGGCATGCTGCACAGGGGCGGAAAAAATGGAGCCGAGTGAGTATTATCCCGAACTACTCGTATTAACTGATCGTTTTTCACATCACACCATACGTAGGTACTTCATCCTCGTTACAAGTTTCAGGGATAATATGGGAAATGGCACTGTCAACGTAGGAATTACTACGTTTACCATACAAATACTCAAGGTTTCACCGTGGTGACCGCTACAATCTGGGGATTCTATGTAATATGTATATTAAAGTTCCATCATGGTCATATCCAGCCCATTCGTTTGTTTAGCTAATGGCGCACTTCATATATTGTCCCCATACGGTTACTTTATTCTTCGCAATTGTCGGCCTACATCCGACTTTCTCTGCCAGACATGATTTGGCACTTAACGTAATTGACATAAGTTATAACATTCTTACTAAGTTCTGACATGTTAACTACATTTGCATCTAAGACGCTTCTTGCTGTAATCTGCGAATGTTTACCTCCACTACAGCGCAGTCTGTTTGTTTATATATCGCAGACACGTGTCATGAAAGGTTTATTTTATACTCACTATAAATAGAACGGCATAAATATACATAAAGTAGGAGAGGAGCTCGCACGATTGCCCTTATCACAAAGTACTTAAGGGCGTGGCGGTAAGGGCGGGCGGTAGGGTACGCCTGGGCGGGCGGCAGGTGCAGACCTGATAGAGCAATTACTTATTTTAATATTTTTAATGCCGGTCTCCGGAGGTATGCCGAGCTTTTCAGTGTCTGATAAAGTTGTTGTTATTATTCAAGGCCACAAGAAACACCTCGTCTGAAATATCTTTCCCATCTAATATAAATAGCTGAAAATATTCAGGGACCTATCGTAAAACTTTGCCATTTTACTTTCTTAGATTTTCGCCTTTTATTTTGGTTTCATTTGCCTTATAATATTGCCAACAAAATTATTGAATACTGAATCGTATTATTAAGAACTACACAGCCCGTTTGATGTTATTACTCGTTAACATAATACAGATTCTGTAACAAAGGAAACATGATAACTGTATCAGACACACAATTACGTTCATGGACGTTACAAATCGATAGCTAAGTTACAAATCCCGTAGTCGAGAACAATACTAAATAACTTGGTTAGCAATGCACGTTGAAGCGGAGCGGCGTGGCACGGTTCGGGTACGGCGCGGGCACGACGCGGCAGCTATCCGTCTTGTCGCCTCAAGTCGAAGTTCGCAGACGGGTCCCCGGTGAATATTCCCCACGTTCCTTTGATGCGGTTCACGTTAATTAGGGATTTTAGTATTGTGATACCCGGGTAGGCAGACGATGTTTTATTAACGAACTAAAATATCTAGCTATCTGCCGCCATCAACCCTTCATTCGATATTTCGTTATTCCCGTGATTCGGTTGGTAATACAGTTATGTTGCGGATGTAATGTATTCGGATAGTCTAGTTATTTAGTTCACAACGTTTTGGAGCGTGCAATGTTACAGGCTAACTGCAGTTGGACCGCCGCCGGTTAAGTTACTTACCCCTGGTTTCGGCGCAACTTTATCAATGCCAGAGAACACTAGCGGACCTGATGTCCGGTGCTGCCCCCTCTCGCTACCAGTTCCTACCCTCCCCCCCCCCAACATTTTCTCACCTCAGTTCGTACTCATCCCAGACTAACTTTAAATTGTTAGCTGCAACTTTGCTTCCCAGTTGGCTGAACTTTATTTGTACATTGCATACCTTTCCAACTTTTGATGACAATTTTCAGGAATAACTGTTATTAAAATGAAAGCTTTTTATACCGCAAGTTAGTTCCATTTGTGTTATTGGCTGTTCATTCAATGAAAGCAAATGTACCTATACCCCTATCATAACTGTGTGTATCTAACAAAGTAAATTGCTTTGAAATGTTTACCTGCTATCAATTTGTTTGCTTATACATTAGAAATTTAACAAGATTTATACAATCTTATCGGCTCTATCCGTGGTTTCTTGTAGCGAAATGGAAACCAATTTATCAATGAACTAATCAGAAATGGTATGCAGGAAAAAATATTCCTTTAACGCTTTCTTATAGTAGTTGTTTTACGTGCTTTGTTTTCATAAGATACAAAGGAGTTCGCACATATTGTTTCACGGGTACGCTCGCCAACCTGAGCGAGCTGTATGGCGCGGGACGTAATATTTGACTTGATCTCGGCGGTGATCCGTCACGCACGAGACCCGCGCCTTCTCGCGCCTTATAATAACATGTTACTCCTTACAACACAGTTATAACGCTACCAACACAACGATGTAAAAGCCAACGTTATTTTCACAGCTTTTATGGCGCTATAAATGTTATATTACACGTAATGACTTTATCGAAATTTCAACACATTTCAAGGTGTTAAGCAAGCCTATAAGATTAAGCTATTGTGTTATGTTCGCGTATGAATGTCAGAGATTTTTTCTGTGATATCGGCATTAGACGATGCTAACACTTCTCTTAAAGCGCATTAAAAATGTTGCTCTATATATTTTATTCGTAGTTGCATAGAATATCTTTACTGCTGAAAGTATAAAAGGCCCATTGCCGATGCATTGTGACTGGCACAACGGGTTCGTCATAAATCAGTATCGTACTCCTACACAGCAAGGAAATAGCTCATAACTTTGATTAGCCTCTTCTTCGTGCAAGGTTTCACCTTCGCCGTTCAATTATGGGTCAATGCGGTACAAATACCTGCATTGTTCGCACACTATAAAACTTACACACATACACAAGTTTTACAAATTGTTCGAACAATAGAATATGCAGACATTTAATGTCAAGCCCTCCGTGCCTAATGAAGAACCCAACAAGCTGTGTGTGTAATTATAGATTTAATCACCTTCTACAACCGCAACTGACATTCATTTAGTTTAATGGGAGATTAACAAAGCCTGCCTTATTCAACATTACGAGATATTTTTTTAAAACTATCACAGGTTATCACGTCGTCCTTTCGCGTTCGTAAAACATGATTAACAGCCATAAAAACACTACCTTTTACCTTAAATACTACATTCTACACAACCTAAATAGAATATGCGATTAAATTTCGGATACGTACCTATCTAAAGCCATTTTCTGTACCAAAGTGTATGGAGATTTCTTTACCCGTCCATTTGTTTACATTCCAATGAAGCCCAGAGATTGTTCTTTTTTATGGGCCACTCTAACAGGGGAGGATTCTTAAAGGGAACCGCATTATAGATTACTTTTACTGGTCGTTTAGAAGTGGGTCAGTGTCCCGTAAAAGTTTCCGCGAATGTGGTCCGCCAGCCGCATTACCGCAGCAGATCAAAGCTGCCGGCTCTCCACACGATGACCCTTCAATCCATGAGACTCTCTAAAAATCATGCGTTTGTTTTATCCCCTCGCCACACAGCGGCATAATATTCGTCCAAGTTTACAATATAAAGTCATATTTGAAACAAACTTCATGCCGTCACCGGTGTTGCTTGAAATCTCTTATTGGAATTGCGCACCAGGTTCTAAACGATAGCACACCTAATTATTTTCAGAGCTTACCCAAACCTCTAAGTAGGGAGGGAGTGCGGGGCGCGCGGTGCGGGCGGCGGCGGTGTGGTATCTCGCGCCGTACCTACCTCGTCTAGACGGCAACTTCATGTAAATAAATACGTAAACCTTAGGACACATTCGAATTTTGACCGACCAACATTAAATGCATAATTTACACTTTAATTAGGAACTCAAAGGGTCACTGTCATTACTTACCTGAATTAGTATTCTCTACGGGTCTTGCACCCTCGAGGACAACGAAAAACTAATTTTGATAAATGCAATTTGAAGTAATTGAGTTGGATGGCTCATAATGTTGTTGATTAATTTAAGCTGGAACCTTGATGCACGAAGCGCGCGCGTAGGGAACAAGCCTTTGATGTGTATTTATTTACAAAACGCTACCAGGAAAGTGATGGATATCTGTCATCTCGGTGAGACGGAGCCGCTCGCGAGGTTCGCGCCGCGCGATGCAAATTCTGTCGAGTCACCCGGAAAGCAATTACCGAGTCTAAGCGCCCGCTCGTTCTTCTGCACTGCTTACCATAAATCAATGGGAACGTAGATACACAGCGACACGAGTATGTTATATCAAGATGTTCTACACACACACTACTGTGCCTTCACGTGTTAGTTCCAACCGTATCATGAAGGACCGAGTACTTTTCCTGAACTAAAGATGTTTCATTGCTATAAATTGTATTTTTTCCTCATACTTAGATTACGGACAAAGGATTCTCTTGAACTTCTCTTCTCCTAACTATGCTGTTCTAGGAACTTTCTTGAATGGCGGTGTCTTTGTTCACCATTTCTAAGAATAGGGCGAATATATCTCTCAACATACCTACAATCCTACATGGTTAAATGATTAGAAAAGCCAATGTACGCAGTTACTTAAGTTTAATCATATCAAGGTAACAATCAAGGATTGTTACCTCTTAATTGTAATTCATTAAAATACAGAGATAGCTCTGAAAACCAGAAATAGTAATGTGAACTTTAAACCAAACTTTACATACTAGCAGAACTTGTTTCATAGATTGACCTTTGTTTTCATTAAGGCTGTGTAGGCGTGATGATTAAGCTGATTTGCCTTTTATAACAAGATGGTTTTACATAAGAGAACTTACCATAGAGAGGCGCTAATGTGTTTATAATGAATAGTATTTAGTGAGGCACAGTGTGATACAAAAGATTCACGTTGCTTGCGAGTAAAGGTTGGTTCATTCTGTCCCAACGGAGACATGTGTGCCTACAAATTCTTTTGCCTTGGTTAAGTGTCCCCGGCCACTGTTCGCAATATTGTGATAAAAGTAAATAAATACGCGCACAGAACCCATTTCAACAATTTGCTTAGGATTCCGTATTTCGCCCGTGATCGCCGCCCTTTCCAAAAGTCCGCCTAATATTGAACGAGCATGTTTCTGCGAACAAATAAGAACTACCTACACCAGCTACACGCCACGATATAGAAGTTATTATAGATGATATGAAAGTAAAATTTAT